AGGATAACTATGTGTATCTGCTAGGATAACTACATGTATCTGCTAGGATAACTATGTGTATCTGCTAGGATAACTACATGTATCTGCTAGGATAGCTACATGTATCTGCTAGGATAACTACGTGTATCTGCTAGGATAACTACATGTATCTGCTAGGATAACTACGTGTATCTGCTAGGATAACTACAGAGCACTGGAAAGTCTAGCTTGTTCAAGTGGCAGATAAAGGAAGCATCGGTTTATTCTTTAGTGAGGCAGTTCCGAATTGAGAGAAGTGGGCCCATAGACTCTGGCACATCTTTGATCAGGCACTTAACCAAGAATAGCTTAATTGATTTGCATTCGACTTTTGAATTAAATATGCAACATAATGAGTAGGAGTGTTCTCAACATTAGCCAGCTTCACGAGATGAGTAGGCAGACATTTTTATTGTCTGCCAACTGATTTCACCAGTTACAGCTCACAAAGCTGGTTGATATTGATGACACTCCTACCCATTATGTTGTACATACCTGTATATTTGTAATTTTGAGTCGACACCCAACCAATTGGTATCCATTTTCCAGCGAGCACTACTTAAGGACCCTACCTACATTGGACCGCCGTTGGCTCTTCTCCCCCCTATGTTCTAAAGTGAATGTTATCCGACACATTTCTAACAGAATTTGAATGCTTTGTATATCACACATACCTCTTGGATACTGGCTGGCAAACTGTGACAGGTGTCGGGAGTAGTATAAAGCCTCGGTCTGAGACATATGTCCTTGACGTAGGAGGTCAATGAACTTTAATCTATGTAGCTTAAACTCTAAGCAACTGTTAATTTCTCGTAATCGGTCTTTATTTGACGTCGCCCAGCTAATAAACAAACACAAGATATCAAAGTTATAATCATACCATAATAAAATAACAGTTCAATTTAATATAACATTACTATACTTGCTATAAATTTAAGCACTGAGTATGGGCACCCAGTGCTGTTAAATGACAGTATGAGCCAATATTTGAGATTTTTTTCTCAACAAAATTCCTGTCCCGAGGTCATGAAATAATATGACCTTATTGTCATTGTTTGTTTGTTTGAGTGGTATTACATCTGTAGAAGTTTCTTTGCTGTTGGATTAAAACCCAAGTGACCTTATTTTTAGTTCAAGAGTTCAAGTATTTAACAAGGAAATTGTTTACTGGTGGTATTGATGGAAATTATTACATAATTGCGTTTGTTCAGTTCAAGAAAATTAGTTAAATCACATTTCATTGGGCTAGCTACATCCGTGGAGAAGATTTACGACTCTCTAATCCTCGGCTAAAGCAGACTTCAATGAGACAGTCAATTAGCATCTCAACAAAATGAGGAGATTTTCGACTCTCTAATCCTCAGCTGAAGCAGCCAAGTAGCTCTGACGAGTAGACGATTGAGGAGATCTCTCTGTCTACCCTGACGAGTAGACGATTGAGGAGATCTCTCTGTCCTACTAAGCAGCCAAGTAGCTCTGACGAGTAGACGATTGAGGAGATCTCTCTCTCTACCCTGACGAGTAGACGACTGAGGAGATATCTCTGTCCTTCTCTGACGAGTCGACGATTGAGGAGATCTCTCTGCTCAACAAAATGAGGAGATTTTCGACTCTCTAATCCTCAGCTGAAGCAGCCAAGTAGCTCTGACGAGTAGCCGATTGAGGAGATCTCTCTGTCTACCCTGACGCGTAGACGATTGAGGAGATCTCTCTGTCTACCCTGACGAGTAGACGACTGAGGAGATATCTCTGTCCTTCTCTGACGAGTCGACGATTGAGGATATCTCTCTGTCCTCCCCTGACGAGTAGACGACTGAGGAGATCTCTCTGTCCTACCCTGACGAGCAGACGACTGAGGGGATCTCTCTGTCCTTCTCTGACGAGTCGACGATTGAGGAGATCTCTCTGCTCAACAAAATGAGGAGATTTTCGACTCTCTAATCCTCAGCTGAAGCAGCCAAGTAGCTCTGACGAGTAGCCGATTGAGGAGATCTCTCTGTCTACCCTGACGAGTAGACGACTGAGGAGATCTCTCTGTCCTACTCTGATGAGTCGACGACTGAGGTGATCTCTCTGTCCTACTCTGACGAGTAGACGTTTGAGGAGATCTCTCTGTCCTACTCTGACGAGTCGACGACTGAGGAGATCTCTCTGTCCTCCTCTGACGAGTCGACGACTGAGGAGATCTCTCTGTCCTACTCTGAGGAGTAGACGATTGAGGAGATCTCTCTGTCTCCCCTGACGAGTAGACGACTGAGGAGATCTCTGTGTCCTACTCTGACGAGTCGGCGATTGAGGATATCTCTCTGTCCTACCCTGACGAGTAGACGACTGAGGATATCTCTCTGTCTACCCTGACGAGGAGACGACTGAGGAGATCTCTCTGTCCTACCCTGACGAGTAGACAACTGAGGAGATCTCTCTGTCTACCCTGACGAGTAGACGATTGAGGAGATCTCTCTGTCCTACTCTGACGAGTCGACGACTGAGGAGATCTCTCTGTCCTACTCTGACGAGTCGAGGATTGAGGAGATCTCTCTGTCCTACTCTGATGAGTCGACGACTGAGGAGATCTCTCTGTCCTACTCTGACGGGTCGAGGATTGAGGAGATCTCTCTGTCCTACTCTGACGAGTAGACGACTGAGGAGATCTCTCTGTCTACTCTGACGAGTCGACGATTGAGGAGATCTCTCTGTCCTACCCTGACGAGTCGACGATTGAGGATCTCTTTCTGTCCTACTCTGACGAGTCGAGGATTGAGGAGATCTCTCTGTCCTACTCTGACGAGTCGACGATTGAGGATATCTCTCTGTCCTACTTTGACGAGTCGAAGATTGAGGGGATCTCTCTGTCCTTCTTCGACAAGTCGACGACTGAGGAGATCTCTCTGTCCTACTCTAAAGAGTCGACGATTGAGGAGATCTTTCTGTCCTACTCTGATGAGTCGACGACTGAGGAGATCTCTCTGTCCTACTCTAAAGAGTCGACGATTGAGGAGATCTCTCTGTCCTACTCTGACGAGTCGACGATTGAGGAGATCTCTCTGTCCTACTCTGACGAGTCGACGATTGAGGAGATCTCTCTGTCCTACTCTGACGAGTCGACGATTGAGGAGATCTCTCTGTCCTACTATGACGAGTTGACGATTGAGGAGATCTCTCTGTCCTACTCTGACGAGTCGACGGTTGAGGAGATCTCTCTGTCCTACTCTGACGAGTCGACGATTGAGGAGATCTCTCTGTCCTACTCCGACGAGTCGACGATTGAGGAGATCTCTCTGTCCTACCCTCAAGTTAGGGACTGATATCCTTCAAATTGTCCATTAATTACCATCTGACAAACACACTCAGTTCTATCTGACACCTGTGGTTATTATAAACTAATTACCATCAAATTGACTGTATTATGTAGGCAAGTCTAATGCCAGTTTTTATAGGTAATAATAACATGTAGGTACTTACCATAACGCTGGTTCTAAATTCTTTTGTTTCAACGCTCCAAGTATCCGATGCAATTCTAAGAAAGGTTCTTTTTTCTCTCCTGCGATTTCTAAGTTTGCCTCCTGTAACAATTAGACAAAACTTATGTAGAGAGAATAAGCAGTTTTACTATTAGAGTGTACTGTGAATATTAGGATGTCAAATACACTTATATTCAAATGAAGAACAAGTGGGATTAGTTTCGCTGATAAGACAGTCTTATATGTCAAGGGGAAAATCTAAGTTACAATGGCCCTCAACTCTTGTTACAACTGACGCAGAATTCTGATTTCATGATGTGTGAACCCTCATATATATACCCATGACACATACAAAGTTTAATATATTACCCATGACACATACAAAGTATCATATATTACCCATGACACATACAAAGTTTCATATATTACCCATGACACATACAAAGTTTTATATATTACCCATGACACATACAAAGTTTCATATATTACCATGACACATACAAAGTATCATATATTACCCATGACACATACAAAGTTTCATAAAATTCAACTGAAAACTGTGCAACGACTTGTACTAGCTCCCAAGAAAGTGTTATGCCACAGGAAAAAAACAAAGTTGTCAAAGGCCATTATTCTTGTAAAAATTAAATGGACGCAGGATCCCAATATCACGATATACAAATGCTCACATGATACCTGTGACAAACACAATTTTATAACATTGACATTCACGTTTGTAACATACGCGGGTGTAGAAAAACTACAACAAAATATTAATATTAGATATTTGGAAACAGATATTTAGAGATATATAATCAAATGTCAATGTTTCTTACAGCTAGAATAAAAGGCTGATTTCCTTTTAAAAGTTCACACTGATTCAGGTGAGACGCTGTCCGAGGGAAGTGTAATTAACAAAGAGCCGACTAACACTACATAAACTAGTCCTGCTGACCACATGATATTGTGTTTGACCACATGATATTGTGTAAGTTGGGCATCAAACCAACAGTTCTAGGAGTAGATACCAATGACCTTCAGAAATGGACCAGCACAACTAAACCTGGCCCTGTTGGCTTTACTAGTGAAACTTACTGGGCATCTGTTGGCTTTACTAGTGAAACTTACAGGGCATCTGTTGGCTTTACTAGTGAAACTTACTGGGCATCTGTTGGCTTTACTAGTGAAACTTACTGGGCATCTGTTGGCTTTACTAGTGAAACTTACTGGGCATCTGTTGGCTTTACTAGTGAAACTTACTGGGCATCTGTTGGCTTTACTAGTGAAACTTACTGGGCATCTGTTGGCTTTACTAGTGAAACTTACTGGGCATCTGTTGGCTTTACTAGTGAAACTTACTGGGCATCTGTTGGCTTTACTAGTGAAACTTACTGGGCATCTGTTGGCTTTACTAGTGAAACTTACTGGGCATCTGTTGGCTTTACTAGTGAAACTTACTGGGCATCTGTTGGCTTTACTAGTGAAACTTACTGGGCATCTGTTGGCTTTACTAGTGAAACTTACTGGGCATCTGTTGGCTTTACTAGTGAAACTTACTGGGCATCTGTTGGCTTTACTAGTGAAACTTACTGGGCATCTGTTGGCTTTACTAGTGAAACTTACTGGGCATCTGTTGGCTTTACTAGTGAAACTTACTGGGCATCTGTTGGCTTTACTAGTGAAACTTACTGGGCATCTGTTGGCTTTACTAGTGAAACTTACTGGGCATCTGTTGGCTTTACTAGTGAAACTTACTGGGCATCTGTTGGCTTTACTAGTGAAACTTACTGGGCATCTGTTGGCTTTACTAGTGAAACTTACTGGGCATCTGTTGGCTTTACTAGTGAAACTTACTGGGCATCTGTTGGCTTTACTAGTGAAACTTACTGGGCATCTGTTGGCTTTACTAGTGAAACTTACTGGGCATCTGTTGGCTTTACTAGTGAAACTTACTGGGCATCTGTTGGCTTTACTAGTGAAACTTACTGGGCATCTGTTGGCTTTACTAGTGAAACTTACTGGGCATCTGTTGGCTTTACTAGTGAAACTTACTGGGCATCTGTTGGCTTTACTAGTGAAACTTACTGGGCATCTGTTGGCTTTACTAGTGAAACTTACTGGGCATCTGTTGGCTTTACTAGTGAAACTTACTGGGCATCTGTTGGCTTTACTAGTGAAACTTACTGGGCATCTGTTGGCTTTACTAGTGAAACTTACTGGGCATCTGTTGGCTTTACTAGTGAAACTTACTGGGCATCTGTTGGCTTTACTAGTGAAACTTACTGGGCATCTGTTGGCTTTACTAGTGAAACTTACTGGGCATCTGTTGGCTTTACTAGTGAAACTTACTGGGCATCTGTTGGCTTTACTAGTGAAACTTACTGGGCATCTGTTGGCTTTACTAGTGAAACTTACTGGGCATCTGTTGGCTTTACTAGTGAAACTTACTGGGCATCTGTTGGCTTTACTAGTGAAACTTACTGGGCATCTGTTGGCTTTACTAGTGAAACTTACTGGGCATCTGTTGGCTTTACTAGTGAAACTTACTGGGCATCTGTTGGCTTTACTAGTGAAACTTACTGGGCATCTGTTGGCTTTACTAGTGAAACTTACTGGGCATCTGTTGGCTTTACTAGTGAAACTTACTGGGCATCTGTTGGCTTTACTAGTGAAACTTACTGGGCATCTGTTGGCTTTACTAGTGAAACTTACTGGGCATCTGTTGGCTTTACTAGTGAAACTTACTGGGCATCTGTTGGCTTTACTAGTGAAACTTACTGGGCATCTGTTGGCTTTACTAGTGAAACTTACTGGGCATCTGTTGGCTTTACTAGTGAAACTTACTGGGCATCTGTTGGCTTTACTAGTGAAACTTACTGGGCATCTGTTGGCTTTACTAGTGAAACTTACTGGGCATCTGTTGGCTTTACTAGTGAAACTTACTGGGCATCTGTTGGCTTTACTAGTGAAACTTACTGGGCATCTGTTGGCTTTACTAGTGAAACTTACTGGGCATCTGTTGGCTTTACTAGTGAAACTTACTGGGCATCTGTTGGCTTTACTAGTGAAACTTACTGGGCATCTGTTGGCTTTACTAGTGAAACTTACTGGGCATCTGTTGGCTTTACTAGTGAAACTTACTGGGCATCTGTTGGCTTTACTAGTGAAACTTACTGGGCATCTGTTGGCTTTACTAGTGAAACTTACTGGGCATCTGTTGGCTTTACTAGTGAAACTTACTGGGCATCTGTTGGCTTTACTAGTGAAACTTACTGGGCATCTGTTGGCTTTACTAGTGAAACTTACTGGGCATCTGTTGGCTTTACTAGTGAAACTTACTGGGCATCTGTTGGCTTTACTAGTGAAACTTACTGGGCATCTGTTGGCTTTACTAGTGAAACTTACTGGGCATCTGTTGGCTTTACTAGTGAAACTTACTGGGCATCTGTTGGCTTTACTAGTGAAACTTACTGGGCATCTGTTGGCTTTACTAGTGAAACTTACTGGGCATCTGTTGGCTTTACTAGTGAAACTTACTGGGCATCTGTTGGCTTTACTAGTGAAACTTACTGGGCATCTGTTGGCTTTACTAGTGAAACTTACTGGGCATCTGTTGGCTTTACTAGTGAAACTTACTGGGCATCTGTTGGCTTTACTAGTGAAACTTACTGGGCATCTGTTGGCTTTACTAGTGAAACTTACTGGGCATCTGTTGGCTTTACTAGTGAAACTTACTGGGCATCTGTTGGCTTTACTAGTGAAACTTACTGGGCATCTGTTGGCTTTACTAGTGAAACTTACTGGGCATCTGTTGGCTTTACTAGTGAAACTTACTGGGCATCTGTTGGCTTTACTAGTGAAACTTACTGGGCATCTGTTGGCTTTACTAGTGAAACTTACTGGGCATCTGTTGGCTTTACTAGTGAAACTTACTGGGCATCTGTTGGCTTTACTAGTGAAACTTACTGGGCATCTGTTGGCTTTACTAGTGAAACTTACTGGGCATCTGTTGGCTTTACTAGTGAAACTTACTGGGCATCTGTTGGCTTTACTAGTGAAACTTACTGGGCATCTGTTGGCTTTACTAGTGAAACTTACTGGGCATCTGTTGGCTTTACTAGTGAAACTTACTGGGCATCTGTTGGCTTTACTAGTGAAACTTACTGGGCATCTGTTGGCTTTACTAGTGAAACTTACTGGGCATCTGTTGGCTTTACTAGTGAAACTTACTGGGCATCTGTTGGCTTTACTAGTGAAACTTACTGGGCATCTGTTGGCTTTACTAGTGAAACTTACTGGGCATCTGTTGGCTTTACTAGTGAAACTTACTGGGCATCTGTTGGCTTTACTAGTGAAACTTACTGGGCATCTGTTGGCTTTACTAGTGAAACTTACTGGGCATCTGTTGGCTTTACTAGTGAAACTTACTGGGCATCTGTTGGCTTTACTAGTGAAACTTACTGGGCATCTGTTGGCTTTACTAGTGAAACTTACTGGGCATCTGTTGGCTTTACTAGTGAAACTTACTGGGCATCTGTTGGCTTTACTAGTGAAACTTACTGGGCATCTGTTGGCTTTACTAGTGAAACTTACTGGGCATCTGTTGGCTTTACTAGTGAAACTTACTGGGCATCTGTTGGCTTTACTAGTGAAACTTACTGGGCATCTGTTGGCTTTACTAGTGAAACTTACTGGGCATCTGTTGGCTTTACTAGTGAAACTTACTGGGCATCTGTTGGCTTTACTAGTGAAACTTACTGGGCATCTGTTGGCTTTACTAGTGAAACTTACTGGGCATCTGTTGGCTTTACTAGTGAAACTTACTGGGCATCTGTTGGCTTTACTAGTGAAACTTACTGGGCATCTGTTGGCTTTACTAGTGAAACTTACTGGGCATCTGTTGGCTTTACTAGTGAAACTTACTGGGCATCTGTTGGCTTTACTAGTGAAACTTACTGGGCATCTGTTGGCTTTACTAGTGAAACTTACTGGGCATCTGTTGGCTTTACTAGTGAAACTTACTGGGCATCTGTTGGCTTTACTAGTGAAACTTACTGGGCATCTGTTGGCTTTACTAGTGAAACTTACTGGGCATCTGTTGGCTTTACTAGTGAAACTTACTGGGCATCTGTTGGCTTTACTAGTGAAACTTACTGGGCATCTGTTGGCTTTACTAGTGAAACTTACTGGGCATCTGTTGGCTTTACTAGTGAAACTTACTGGGCATCTGTTGGCTTTACTAGTGAAACTTACTGGGCATCTGTTGGCTTTACTAGTGAAACTTACTGGGCATCTGTTGGCTTTACTAGTGAAACTTACTGGGCATCTGTTGGCTTTACTAGTGAAACTTACTGGGCATCTGTTGGCTTTACTAGTGAAACTTACTGGGCATCTGTTGGCTTTACTAGTGAAACTTACTGGGCATCTGTTGGCTTTACTAGTGAAACTTACTGGGCATCTGTTGGCTTTACTAGTGAAACTTACTGGGCATCTGTTGGCTTTACTAGTGAAACTTACTGGGCATCTGTTGGCTTTACTAGTGAAACTTACTGGGCATCTGTTGGCTTTACTAGTGAAACTTACTGGGCATCTGTTGGCTTTACTAGTGAAACTTACTGGGCATCTGTTGGCTTTACTAGTGAAACTTACTGGGCATCTGTTGGCTTTACTAGTGAAACTTACTGGGCATCTGTTGGCTTTACTAGTGAAACTTACTGGGCATCTGTTGGCTTTACTAGTGAAACTTACTGGGCATCTGTTGGCTTTACTAGTGAAACTTACTGGGCATCTGTTGGCTTTACTAGTGAAACTTACTGGGCATCTGTTGGCTTTACTAGTGAAACTTACTGGGCATCTGTTGGCTTTACTAGTGAAACTTACTGGGCATCTGTTGGCTTTACTAGTGAAACTTACTGGGCATCTGTTGGCTTTACTAGTGAAACTTACTGGGCATCTGTTGGTTTTACTAGTGAAACTTACTGAGCATCTGTTGGCTTTACTAGTGAAACTTACAGGGCATCTGTTGGCTTTACTAGTGAAACTTACTGGGCATCTGTTGGCTTTACTAGTGAGATTTACTGGGAATCTGCAGATTGATAAAAGAGAGTGTGACTGTATCCAAAGACATACAATAATGTCGAAAACACAAATTTTTGTGTCCCGAAAATTGCTGACTGTCTAACTTCCCTTCCATATTTCTACCCTGTTCATTATATATACAAGTATATGGAAAAAGAACATCTAAAATTCAAGTTTGATATTGTTTTGCATACAATTTTTACTGGTTAAATGTTTAAAAAATTGTACATCAGCCCTTAAGTTCAATTTGTTCATTTTCGTTTTAAATTTATGTGAAAACAAATGGATCATTGAATAATACATAGAAAGATGATGCGATTTGTTAGAGAGATTTTAGTTTGGTTGGGTTTCAACCTCATCCATACCGCAACAAGAGCATCAGCAATGTCCAACATCCCCTGTCTCATAAAGTGTTCGCAGACAACTTCGTTTAGTAGGTGAGTTTTTTCCGTTCCTTCAAATGCCCCATCTGTTGCTATGGAAGTCAAATCATTGACAAAATTCTGAAAAGTCAAAAGAATTTCCATATAATCCTCACAGCAACTAAACACTCACCATCTGTTGGTAATTATTTCAAATGTATCGTTCAAAAGATGACGGAGAATACCTATAGAAATGTTAACAAAATCGTTAATACTGGAAAAATGAACAAAGGAAAGATTTACGTGGCGACTGTCATTGATCAGGAAGCAGAAGATGCTCACCCTCCTTGAACCCTTGGTCTTATTCTTCTTGGTATTTTTTCAAGAATCTACATGTAAATCTTTTCCTAATCTAATGTAACCCTAATCAGTAGGTCACGTCCTCACATCCAGTTCTCTGGTAGTGACACCAAAACCACAAAGATCGCTAATGACCATAATCAACAACAACGCACTGCATATCACACAAATACATCAATAAAGTTTACTGCTAAGGGGGCATAATCCAACATGTTACAGACACTGCTGACCAACACGTTACAGATACTGCTGACCAACCCGTTACAGACACTGCTGACGAACACGTTACAGACACTGTTGACCAACACGTTACAGATGCTGCTGACCAACACGTTACGGATACTGCTAACCAACACGTTACAGATACTGCGGACCAACACGTTACAGACATTGCTGACCAACACGTTACAGCCACTGCTGACCAACACGTTATAGACACTGCTGGCCAACACGTTACAGATACTGCTAACCAACACGTTACAGACACTGCTGACCAACACGTTACAGATACTGCTGACCAACATGTTACAGATACTGCTGACCAACACGTTACAGACACTAGAATACCTTATTAGTGTCAACTGCTGACCAACACGTTACAGATACTGCTGACCAACACGTTACAGACACTGCTGACCAACACGTTACAGATACTGCTGACCAACACGTTACAGACACTATAATGCCTTATTAGTGTCAACTTATTATTAGTATTCCTTCACAATAGTAAGCATGAACACAGGATGCAAAGACTTTAACAAAAAAATTAATGCGAAGCAAAGGATGTAGGACATTAATTTGGGTTACACATTAAACAAAATTCCATGTCTAATTTCATTTGCTTTGTAAATAAACATAGCTAAATTTCTAATAATAAGTATTAGTGTCAACTGCAGGTTTTTGGTACAATCTTCACTAGGAGCACAATTGTAAAAATCTATAGCCTGTGTTATAATTACAGCAGCAGTTGTGTGCTTACTCTTATCTAACTTTAGTGAAACCTGTCTAATCTGACATCTCATGGAACATAACATATTGGTCAGATTAACCTGTCTAATCTGACACCCTGCAAGATAAATAATATGTTGGTCGAATTAAACTAATCTGACACCCTGTGGAGCATAATGTGTTTGTCTGTTTAATCTGTCTCATCTGAAACCCTAACAGACACAACATATTGGTCAGTTTAACCTGTCTAATGTGAAACCCTTCGGAGACATATATTGGTCAAATTAAACTGTCTAATCTGACACCCAGTGGGATTAACAAGATACTGTCCGATAAAACTGTCTAATCTGAAACCCTGTGAAACATTACATATTGGTCAAATTAAACTCTCTAATCTGACACCCAGTGGGATAAACAAGATATTGTCCGATAAAACTGTCTATACTGAAACCCTGTGGAACATTACATATTGGTCAAATTAAACTGTCTAATCTGACACCCAGTGGGATTAACAAGATATTGTCCGATAAAACTGTCTAATCTGAAACCCTGTGAAACATTACCATATGGTACACAACATATAGGTCAAAATGAGACAGGTTATCAGAATACACAGGTCTTACCCTTGGTAAATACATAATAAATGGTAGTAGCATTATGTTGGATCAGATCAAGGTGTGTGGTCAGAATACACAGATGTGGGTGTGCACTTTGTGCACACTTTTGGGGTATTCTTACCCTGTCAATTGATTTCCCGACTTTAGACACAGTGCTATGAAGCTCTTTATGTTCCTGTCCCAAGCGTGATACTGCCTCTTTAATCCTGCGAACAGTCTGTGTCAATATCAAGGTTTGGGTTGCTGTTAGTGTTTCACCTGTAAATTAAAACAAGATCCAGGTTAAGTTGAACATTGATGATTTTACATTTAAGCATGAAGTGTATTTTAAAGTCTACACATCCTAAATATTTACAAACCTGTTTTGGTTTTTCCTTTGCTAAGCACATGTACACAGTACACTTCATAAAAACACAGGTTCGTCATGATCAGGGTCAAATTGGAATTCAAAACTGAGACTTCAGAAGTATTGTGCCTGTTTTAGGCATAACAGTTACATGTATATTGCATTACACAATCAGACCACAGCTTTGTGTGCTATGACCCATATCAGTATACATGTAACATATATGTGTATTTCGGACATTTGTAACGAACCCCTGTGATCAGATTATGATTCAGGTTGTCATCAAAACGAAGAATACTACTGATGGCTGACCAGTTAAGATCCAGTAAAGGGGTTTTTCCACCAGCTGGTTGATATTATAATTTGTTATCGAAGACATGTTACAATTAACAGTTAAACATAACTTAAGACGTTGTTACAAGACAAAGACCAGAGAAAATCTTTCCAAACCACTACGTTCAAACTTCAAACTCAGACTTTATTTGAAGGAAAATGTGCTTACCGTCACCTAACTCCCGCTGTATACTTTGGATTGAATTGCACAATTCATCAAGGTTTTTGGTTGAATGGTCCTTCAAGCCAGCAAATTTGTTAAATACTTTCTCAACTTCTCTCTCAACTGCATTGCACGACTCCATTTTTGTTTTTCAGCCTTGACCTTCTCTCATGAGCTTCCGTTATATTCACACATATTTATAATTGGTGTTGGTTCATTGTGTTGTTTTAACAAATACGAAAACGTGGCAGTGGCCTAATAACCAGAAAAGTCGACAGACACAACACTAGAAAACAAAATTAATATGTTAGCAAATATCACCGGAAGCAACCGAACAGGAAGTCACTCTGACAGCTGGTTTCGTTAACGACAAGATACAAATACAGGATTGCGATTAAAACGTTCCATCAGACTTTGGTCTACCGGTTTTGTTTTATTTTCTGGTAAGCAATTGTACTTTCCCAGCCTCATCAATCATTAACACTTGAACGTGTGCAATTTGTACACAGCATTGCATTTATTGCCATTTTTTAAATGTATGACTTAAACTCTTATTCATCCCGAGAAATTAACGTTTATTTAACACGTGATTATAATCAACATGAGGTTAGTTTCTATAGCACTCTTTTGCTATTGTTCCGAGTCGATACAAAAAAAAATCAGCGGCCTTGAAAATTCAAAGATAATTTGTGAAACTAAGTGTACAAACTACTAAGTACTGATTCTGGACACATCGAACCAATCTATATAATGTTGTAGTGTGGGAGTGTGAATGTGTGAATGTGTGAATTTATGCATATTAACTTGCCAATGTTCTATCATTCATCATATACAATTTAGTATGGTAATTTTTAAGCTGCCATCTTGAAATTGTGTTTATATTATCATTGTATTTTATAACGGAAATGTCCTTGCATACGATGTATATATTGTGCCCGAATCCGTTGCTATCTGAAGACAATAAACTGTGTTTCAATCAAACGCAAATTTGTTTGGTTGAAAGTGCACACCTCTACCACATCTCTGCGTGCCGCATTGTAAATGTGCTCTGAAAGGGCCACTTATTATTTTGGGGAATGGCTGACGATCAATTTAGCTCAACAGTTAAAGCTATTCATTTTGAAATAGTAAGCGAGGGTCAAGAGAGGTGCCAATTGTATGTTCTTCCCAAAATTAACTCAAAATTAACATTCGTAGTAATAAAAAATGGTTTTCGAATTAACTGTCACGCATGTGCGTAAATAAAGAAAGTTATGTTTTCGTACATATATTGTGTAAGTATTTACCAGCTAAAAACTGTCTCTGTTGCCATAATCGACAGCAAATAAAAGTCGATATACCGTTTATAGTTTAATTGCCATAATAATTATAATATCATTGTGTGAAAAAAATCTTATATATTTTTTTCTCTTTGTTGTACGCCAGTTTTGTTTGAATGAAGCACAGGGGTTCGTTACAAATGTCTGAAATACAAATAGGCTATACTGATATACTATTTATAGAGTCTATTCAATCCTATGATATTTCTGCTCTGAACACAGAGTTCTGATATAACTTACTTAAAATAATCATGAATATAATATTCTTACTCTATAATCCATCTATCAAATGAAATTGTAAAAACAAGAGTTAGGTAAGGCGAGTCCTTGCTAAAATCTACTCGTGTCGGAGTGGATAACAAGTGTTTGTGTGGATTCCGACTTCAATCTCCGTTCCGATACATATACAACGGTTACTTGCATGCAAACTTTTAGCATCAACACATACGTTTGTAGCTGTCGCTGTCAGTGTGTTCAATTACAGCTTTCGTTACAAGTTCTTCAGCAGACAGTTCGTCTCAACATGATGAACCAGTGAGACTTTTCCACGGTTACTGACATTCCTTGCGCGAGCGCGCGCGTGTGTGTCTTTTCATTGCTCATTCATAAAAACCAGAAATCTTGTAATTTTTATTACCAACTCGATGGACAATCTTATCAAAATACAGATTTTTACTACGCCAATACTTTCCGTTCTGATTTCTAGTATAATATAAACTTTATTTATTTTACAAAAATTATGAATCAAGTTATTTCAACTTATATTAATCACTCTTGTTGGCCCGGATGTCAGCGTGCGGGAGTCTTAATGTAGGAGGAAACCGGAGTACCCGGAGAAACCCCATCTGGTCGGGCAGGTGATCATGACCCCATACCTTTTCACATCCGATCGGGGAATTGAACCCCAGCCGTTTTGGTGAAAGGCAAGCGCGCTATCCACTGCGCCACCCGAACACCCACTGATTTCAAGTATGAATATGGTATTGGAAGATCTTTCCGTTGAATTCGACTCTTTCGTCGTCTCTGAAAATGGTATTTTGTCAACCGGGAAGGTTATCCGGATATTACTATTTCCCTTAATATGCTAATCTTAGGGTCAAAGTTTAATCACACACATGGTAAAGTGTCAAAACATAGCAACTTGGAGTGACAAATGAATATACTGCATTTTTGTGGAAAATGAGATGATATCCGAAAATATAAACTGTACACAGTCTGTAGTTGGAACTCGCCAAGTCTACGCCGGTTGAGGGAGTGCTGTTGCATTCAACTCGTTGCATTCGTCAGTTCTCACTCCTAGTGGCACTATAGTAACGCGCTGTCATTTCTGATCGATCAGTGCTACTGAAAACTGCGGATGAAATATTACCACTCGTTGTACCAATCGAACGCTGGCCGAGATATCGGAAAGATATTACACAGTGGTATCTGCTTGTTCGTACCTCGGCATGTTGGTTTCAAAGGTCACTCCCTATCTCTGACCTAGACTTGTAAACGGCTATAAATAATACGACGTCCGATTGACTTAGCGGTGTTATATATCTGGATTGTTACGAAATACAATACGCTGGTGTGGGTTATAAATTAATTCAGGTGTAGTGTGTATAAATGTTCGCTAATCTGACATACAGTATAAAAACAGTACGTTCTGTGCATTTCACAGGTATACAAGGACGGGGACGTGCTTAAAGGGCGGTTGGAGTGAGTCCATAACATTTAAAGTATTAACCAGGATACAACGACGACATCATGGTGGGCTATTTTGGGGGAGATCGTGGACAATCGAAGGACGTTTACGACGAGGTAGAGTTAAAGGACCTCCCAAAAATGGTCGATCTAAGGAAAGAAGTTAACTCAATCCTGCAAAAGTCTTCTTGGTGGGATCTTTATGGTGTTGACTGGGTGATCACGTTCGTCGTGTTCGGGATGGTGTTTGTCGCCGTGTACCTGATGTCGTTTGACAGTGCTCTAGCCGTGGCTCTGGGTATTCTTATCTATGGTTACTGCCACAGTTCTATCACTGTTAAAGGCGCACATGCGGCGACCCATGGATCCGTGTGTGCCTCAACTGCATGGAATCGCGTGTGGATGATTCTGTTTTCGGATATTGTCGGATCATTTCCGTCGGATGCAACATATGACATACACATAAAGACCCATCATCCGCACACAAATATAATCGGACTCGGAGATTCTAGCACGTGGAAAATCCCGTTTTTGCCGACGTATGCTTACATGTACGTGGCGCCATTGTTTATTCCCGTCATTACAATACCCGTGTCTATATCAGAACTGTGGGGGAAATGGTTTAAAATGATTAAATACTTAGTGTTTACAGCCATTGGACTTTCGATAAATTTTTACTTTTTGATGAACATGTCTGGATTTACATTCACGCACGCGCTGTTGGTCACCTGGGTGGCACGTGCAATGCTGTCTATTCCATACATTCACGTGAATATTTTCCAGCATATCGGACTTCCAATGTACTCCCAGAAAAGTCGTCCGGTGAGGATTTATCAGATGTCTACGGGAGTGTTGAACCTTCCTCGGAATCTTATCCTGGACTACAGCTTCGGACACTCCATCCTGAGTTGTCACGTTGAGCACCACCTGTTCCCGACCCTCTCCGACAACATGTGTCTTAAGATCCAGCCGACGGTATCACGGTTCCTGAAGAAGAACGGACTTCCGTACAATGAGGATACGTACCAGGGCAGACTAGAGATTTTCACCAAGAAGTACAAAGAATTGATGGTGAACGCCCCGCCGATCACACATTTTGTGGGGATCCAGTAGTGGCGCTACTGTAGACACGAACTCGACGTAACATGATCGAGCTAGTGATTTGGTTTTTACTTTGATAACTTTTATGTTTGCAAACTCAGTGCTAATCTGTTAACTATTCAACCGTAAATCAGTCTAGTCTATTAATTCTGGAAAGCGGGTTTCCTTGATATTCGGATTAAAACAAATCAGATTTAGGATATTCGGACAACGGATAAACAAGTCCTATCCGGTTCAACAATAGTCCCACGTCCCACCCAGACTCGTTAAAAAGGCGGAAGGTGGGGTGGGGGTTATTGTTTCTCGGGCATTGGCTATACACATGGGGTGCAGAAATTTCGAGCGGATGGGTGGACAACTACTTGACATTGTGGACGCGTGTGTAATAGATGGACAACATATCTCTACGGTCAAGGACAGAACTATTCACGTGTAAATATTGTAGTAAGTAGCCGTCCGGAGAATGAAGTATAAATGTTTAATTATAATGACCCTGGTGTATATTTTCTACCTGATGTTCGAAAATGTTCTGCTAGTACTTTTAAATACACGTGTACAGTAATGTATTTTCGGGCGTCCTGCTATGCCTATCGTTTCTGATAAAACAGCGAAAAATCACTTGAAAATACAATTAAAACCTGAAGTCTACAATAAATGGATTTTTAAATATATTAACATATCATATTGCTATTATATCGACATAAATAAAACCTGTATGTGGTTTGAGAACATCGGGTAGTTCCCCGGTTTTCTACTTAAGTCCTTGTCCTGACGTTTAATGCAGTGGTAGGGTATGTGTCGGTATGTCTGCAGATGACGGGGTTTAGAAGTTATAGATTAAGGTAGAGAGTCCCAGCGCTCCGTGTGTTGTACCTCCAACGAAAAAGATTTCCAATGTGTTTGGATTTTCTGACTTAGAATTGCTTGCTCATTTACTGTACACGTGTATACAAAAGAAGTTATTATAATCTCCGTTTTCCACAAAGGCATACATCCACTGCTAGGATTCGACTTTCGGACCTGTTTGATTATGAAGCCGCTGGACCTTAACACCGCGCTACCGATCTTATTTGTCTTTTAATACATTTTTGTATCCTCGCTGGGAACACATGTAGTTTTAAAAGCCCCCATAAAAAACCACAATCATTTTTGTTTTTGTATGTAGATTACAAAAAAAACATGAATAACACGACAAAAGCCCTGTAGACAATAGAATGTGATGTGATTGTCTACCTAGTATAACAACTTCTGCAGTCATTAAGCACTTAAGTATTGTTATTTTGTTGTTGATTTTAATAATTTTTATTTTATTAATTTATTAATTATTGTTTTGTTTTGTTTTTGTCTTAGGGACTAACTATACTGATAATGATAGAATGAATAAATACCGTCTAAACATTGATAAAAAATATCTTCTCAATCCTTATAATTTAATTCTAAACTTAAAAAGGAAAAAGTTTCCTTGCACTAAATATGTAATTTTCATTTATAACAAGTATTTGTTTATGAATGGTGCGATATTTTTATGTTGGTCAATCACTGTGCGCGTGCTATGACGCGACAATCTAGTTGAGCCGGAACTTTTAACAGGCTCATTTACATACTCTCTCAAATAATGACGCTGGTAGGGAATATTTCCATGTCATCTGATCTAATATCGAGTAATGCTCGATTTTCCAATGTCAAAAGAAGTATGCAGACGATTAATCAAGTGTGACAGATGACTGTGTTTTTTGAAAATGCGTTTTACAAACAATATTATATTATTATACCATGTGCCATAATTACACATATAGGTCATAGTTTGTTTGCCTAGTTTTGCAGCCGAATACAGACTGCTTCTCCTAGCAAAAAGTGCGTTGTTACCCCTTGTCACCCCCTTCCCCGAATAAACAGAAGGACATAATGTTATATTGTCACAATTCATGTCGGAAAGGACTGTTGTAAATTTAAATTTCATGTACAAAAGCTAGGCACAACTACTACAAACAGTTAATATGTGTCGTGTCCTGGTGTTCAGTACTGCTATTCTATGTTTAGAACTTCGGTTTAATTGGGTGCTGTTACTGATTTTTGACGCCTACTGGTAGACAGTTTTACTTCCGATGTTAAACGCTTCAACTTCTGTTAAGCTAAACGGCAAGTTAAAAATAGATATGGCAGTTTCCGGACAGTTACTGTTTATATGTCTTATTTACATATGTATTTTGTCTATGCCTTTTTGTCTTATTTTAATATTTATATTTATAGTATTGTTCTCATAGACCTTAACCCGAGCTTCCTCTCGCCCCAACACAAGACAATCGGAATTTGGACAGATGTCACCTGACAAAATGTCTAAAGCCTGGTGATGGTGCCAGGGGAAACTGTCAAGGACCTGATGAATAGTTACCAGGTACTGTTTGGACCTATGTAGAATATATGCGAAAGGTCCAAATATACATCCTGTGACATTTTATCATCTTCCTGTGTTATAGTCCTGTTGTCGTCCTCATACCCCAGGGGTTACGTACTTGTAGAGAGCGAAAGTGAGCATAACTCCTGGAGTATGGAGGAGGTCCTGTTGTCGGTTGACAAATAATATTCCGTATCACAGGGACATATCATATTCTATATAACGAGTGTCACACTATACATCAAGTATATCATATGTAATTCGACGTTACATGTATATAGCATGTGACATGACCCTGTGTTCTGTATCTAGTTCGACACAGGGACACGAGGCAGGTATTCATTGCCGTAGGAATATTGTGTAAAAAAAAATATGTATACCTATTCCAATGACTATTATTTTAACATGCCTTTTTGTTTAATGTAGCTATCGCAATATCTTGGTTATTTCCGTTGAAGCTTTAATTACTAGCCTTGACGGAAATGGCCGAGCTTTGACGGAACTGGCCGAGATGTACTTATCATTTGATGTATACACTTACATGTATGCCTTTAATTCATTTCATTAATGAACGCGTATACATGTCCTCAATATCCTCCAACGTACCGTGTCTATGAATTTAGCTCAGCTGAAAGTGTAAGTTTTCCAAAGAAACTTAAGTTCGAACTCGGCTCGAGTAGAACTCGAACATAGAGACATGGTTATTAATTACGGAATGCGCATTTGGACCTTTCCTGGCGTGTAACGAGTATTATAGTTCTTATAAACGTTAAGGGAAAATTAAGATCCCCACCAATGATGGTATGTGTTGATTTAATCCTCTTAGATGTATTACAATACAACCTACACATAAGGATGGGTCCAAACTGACAAAAAGACAAACACGTGTAACTAATTATTTTGTTGGTGATTTTTCTCGCCGCCATGACAACGTGTGCAGATATATCTATGATCAATAAGTGATGTGTGATTGTAGAATTAAATTGTATTTTAAGATTGATTTTATTTATTTGCTTCTTGGTAAGGTCTAATTCAACATGTTCGTCAGGTAATAAGCCATTATGTTGATTAAACTGCGTTTAATGGCCAATGAACATTTATTGTTAATCATTTTAATGACTGTATGCAGGTATTCGTGTGCAACGAATTGATGGTTATAATTTTATCGCGTGTGTTTTTATGTTAACGCCATAAACACTTTGCGATCACTGGCCTTGTGTTAATTGTGTAAGGAGCCTCGAACAATAAAAATTACACGTTCAGCATGTATGTGTTGTGTCGCGTTCATCTGTCTCTCTATATTGTACTACGACCGATACACATGTCTCATGTGTCAGGCCCCTGTGTCTCTGCATGGTTTCTCCCTATATTGTACTACGACCAATACACATGTCTCATGTGTCAGGCCCCTGTATCTTTGCATGGTTTCTCCCTATATTGTACTACGACCGATACGCATGTCTCACGTGTCAGGCCCCTGTGTCTCTGCATGTTTCTCTCTTTATTGTACTACGACCGATACACATGTCTCATGTGTCAGGCCCTTGTGTCTCTGCATGGGTTCTCTCTATATTGTACTACGACCGATACACATGTCTCACGTGTCAGGCCCCTGTGTCTCTGCATGATTTATCCCTATATTGTACTACGACCGAAACACATGTCTCATGTGTCAGGCCCCTGTGTCTCTGCATGGTTTCTCTCTATATTGTACTACGACCAATACACATGTCTCTTGTGTCAGGCCCCTGTGTCTCTGCATGGTTCTCTCTATATTGTACTACGACCGATACACATGTCTCATGTGGCAAACCCTTGTGTCTCTGCATGGTTTCTCTCTATATTGTACTACGACCAATACACATGTAACTTGTAGTTAAAAATGGTGTGACTAATGAACAGACCTCTTTTGAAATGTGTGACTTGTAAAGGGGCCCCTGTGGAAAGGTGTGACTTGTATAGAGGCCCCTTGGAATGGTGTGACTTGTATAGAGGCCCCTGTGGAATGGTGTGACTTGTATAGAGGCCCCTTTGGAATGGTGTGACTTGTATAGAGGCCCCCTTGGAATGGTGTGACTAATATAGAGCCCCCTTCGGAATGGTGTGACTTGTAAAGAGGCCCCTTGGAATGGTGTGACTTGTATAGAGGCCCCTTTGGAATGGTGTGACTTGTATAGAGGCCCCTTTGCAATGGTGTGACTTGTATAGAGGCCCCTTTGGAATGGTGTGAATTGTATAGAAGCCGCTTTGGAATGGTGTGACTTGTATAGAGGCCCTGTGGAATGGTGTGACTTATAAAGAAGCCCCTGTGGAATGGTGTGACTTGTATAGAAGCCCCTTTGGAATGGTGTGACTTATATAGAGGCCCCTGTGGAATGGTGTGACTTGTATAGAGACCCCTGTGGAATGGTGTGACTTGTATAGAAACCCCTTTGGAATGGTGTGACTTGTATAGAGGTCCCTGTGGAATGGTATGACTTGTATAGAGGCCCCTGTGGAATGGTGTGACTTGTATAGAGGCCCCTGTGGAATGTTGTGACTAATATAGAGGCCCCTTTGGAATGTTGTGACTTGTATAGAGGCCCCTGTGGAATGGTGTGACTTGTATAGAGGCCCCTGTGGAATGTTGTGACTAATATAGAGGCCCCTGTGGAATGGTGTGACTTGTATAGAGGTCCATGTGGAATGGTATGACTTGTATAGAGGCCCATGTGGTATGGTGTGTATTGTATAGAGGCACATGTGGAATGGTGTGACTTGTAAAGGGGCCCCTGTGGAATGGTGTGACTTGTATAGAGGCCCCTGTGGAATGGTGTGACTTGTATAGAGGCCCCTGTGGAATAGTGTGACTTGTATAGAGGCCCCTGCAGATTGCTTAGTGAACATTGAAGAACGAAATTGATCGGCTGCCTCTATTTTACACCACTTGTAATTCATCTCCCAAGTACCTCTCATCACGTGATACCTCATGTGGCGCGGACGTTAAACCCCAAAACAACCCGTGCAGGTTTGGAGAAAGAATAGGGCTTATGTATCGCAGTGCATGATCGTAAGAGGCGACTAATGTATACACATATATATAAGAGCCAGAGAACATTTATATTAAACGCAGAAAATAATGATACGGGCCCCTGTGTTACACATTTATATGATAAGCAGAGAATAATGATACGGGCCCCTGTGTTACACATTTATATCAAAGGCAGAGAATAATGATACAGGCCCCTGTGTTACACGTTTATACAATATGTAAATGATATTGATACGGGCCCCTGTGTTACACATATAAAAGACAGAATAAGTATACGGGCCCCTGTGTTACACATTTATTATGTATCAAAATATTTTAAACGTTTCCATGTGATGCAGATCGGTATAAAATACAAAACCAGAGGCATCATGTATACATATTATTGAGTTAAATTTATTTTTCATCACATTTACATATTAACGATGGGGCAAGTAATACTACATGTGCGGAATTCTCTGACACTTCGAATGCGGAGAGCAAGTGTGGAAATAGTTCCGACGAACGAATCTTTACACGCCGACCAATCTCATGCAAGTGAGCAACCATGGTAACCGCAGAAAAAAGGCAAGCTCGTGTGTGGAAAGTATATCTGTGTTCCTTATGTTTACACATGTGCTTGATCAATTTGGCTTTCCCTGTAAAGTGTGTGCGCGCGCAAAATGAATAATGAACAATGCAAGATGCATAACACGAGAGGGGGAAACATTATCGTTTATATATAAGGGAGATTACTCAAAGTAAAAAATACTGGAAACAGAACTCTTCTTCGCTATTATAACAGCACTGTTGCAGTGATACCTTTCGCCTTAAAAATGTCTAATCGTGTATATGAAATTGATAAATAAATAATTTTCTGCATTTAATTTGTGAACTACATATCATCGATAATGCAAATTCTGTACACTTCTTTCTATTGGAACATCACTCTTCTACAGAGACTAATCAATTGCGATCTTCAACAGGTATAATAGATTATTTCCAGGGAATCGTTGTACACTTGTAGTCATGCCAAAGTCCTAAATTGTTGTCTTTTTTAAAGAATTTTCACTTGATTCCAATACGCGTATTTGCATACGAGTATAATCGCAAATCCATATTGGGGCGCACCTCTGGTATATACAAAATTAAACCTATTGGGCCAAGGATACTCTTTATCAAAGTTGGTCTGCATTCCTTCTTCTGTATGGAATGAAAAGGATTGTAAGATTTAAACCTATTTACCTTGATGAGCCATGCTCTCTGCCCCCAAGGGGAACTTCACCCTCCATTTACACACAATTGAGTTCTTTTAGTTCAAGGATGGCTGAATTTGGTTAAAATCATTTCGTTCCTACAGCAGGTGAGACATTTTTGAAAACGACATATATTTCACCCTATTAGGCCATGTCCCTCTTCCAAGTTAGTATCATAACAGTAAGTCCCTGTCGCTCAAGGTTTCGACTAATACAAATGTGGCTACGATCCCTACATTCTTAAAGAAGGGAAATATTTAACGATTTACCACTTTGTCTCTATTAGACACCAACCATCTGTCCCGTGTGTATGCAGGAGAAATGGTATGTTGGAGTGCCTGCCTCCTTGTGACAGTGCGGATCTGATGCCGACTTTATAGTGCTATCTCGCTGAACTACCATGCCGAAGGCACCCAGTACAGTCCACTCGGTCACATTATACTGACAACGGGTGAACCAGATGCTCTGCGCAAAATTTGGTTAAAATCCCTCCAAGTCTATCAAAGGAGAAATATTTACTTAAAATTCCTTTATTAAGCCTCACCCTTTTACTCCCAGGGGGAGCCCATACCCTCAATTCATACCAAAGCGAGTCCCTATTGCCACAGAATGCTACACATCAAATTTGATTAAAATCCCTTCATTCACATAGAAGGATTTTAAACATGTATTACTATGTTCCCCCTATTGGGCCCGCCCCTCTCCCCCAAGGTGGCCATACTCTATGTTTATGCAAAATTGAGTACTTCTTGTCCAAGGATGCAATACATCAATTGGTTCAAATCCCTACCATCGTACTGAAGGAGAAGAAATTTAAACTTGTATCACTATGTCGCCCCTTATTGATTCATGCTCCTCGAGATCTGCCCGGGGGACGGGGGGGNGGGGGGGGCACACACTCTCTGCTTAAGGGCGCTTTAATGATTTACCTCGATTTTCCCTTTTGGACCCAATCTCACTGCCCCGAGGGGGCACACCCTCCGTTTATTGGAAACCGAGTCCCATTTGCCCAAGTTAAAAGGAAAAGTTGACGGACGGACGATGGCATCACGCCGCCACACCACGACATAAGCTCACCGGTCCTTGTATACACGTGTGTTAGGGTGTGCATGTCTTGTTCTGTGTTGGTGTGAGGATGGTGCTGGGGTCTATTTCAACGTGATATATACATTGTACAAACATATATGAGACGTACATCTGACATACACGTACAGCTTCTAAAAAGTGTAAAAACATAATTAAATACATATACATACACGTACAGCTTCTAAATAGTGTAAACACATAACTATATACATAAACATACACGTACAGCTTGTAAATAGTGTAAACACATAACTATATACATATACATACACGTACAGCTTCTAATTAGTGTAAAAATATAACTATATACATATACATACACGTACAGCTTATAAATAGTGTAAAAACATAACTATATACATGAACATACTCGTACAGCTTCTAAATAGTGTAAAAACATAACTGTGTACATGTGCATACACGTACAGCTTCTAATTAGTGTAAACACATAACTATATACATATACATATACGTACAGCTTCTAAATAGTGTAAACACATAGCTATATACATATACATACACGTACAGCTTCTACATAGTGTAAACACATAACTATATACATATACATACACTTACAGCTTCTAAATAGTGTAAAAACATAACTAAACACATAACTATATACATATACATACACGTACTGCTTCTAAATAGTGTAAAAACATAACTATATACATGAACATACTCGTACAGCTTCTAAATAGTGTAAAAACATAACTAAACACATAACTATATACATATACATACACGTACAGCCTCTAAATAGTGTAAACACATAACTATATACCTATACATACACGTACAGCTTCTAATTAGTGTAAAAACATAACTATATACATACACGTACAGCTTCTAAATAGCGTAAACACATAACTATATACATATACATACACGTGCAGCTTCTAAATAGTGTAA